GCTGAGAACTGGCGACTTTCTAGTACAACTTTAGTACGCGGAGCAATCTGTGGAGCTGGAAGCTGAGAACTGGCGACTTTCTAGTACAACTTTAGTACGCGGAGCAATCTGTAGAGCTGGAAGCTGAGAACTGGCGACTTAGTACAACTTTAGTACGCGGAGCAATCTGTAGAGCTGCAATTTAGCGGAGTGACTTGGAGACTGGCTTTCACAGACTGGAGCCTCCAGTTCGTATCAAAGTTGAGGAGATGCCATTCCGAACTGATGGAACCTACGACACCGACACTCTGCTGCATCATGTCGGACGTCACCCCGACGATGTTGCTGGAAATGTATAGCTACATTTGCTCCGACTCGCGGTGCTGTGACCCGCGTCATGTCGCCACTTTCGTAGCTACAGAACCGCCCCAGCTGCCCGTTGTTCCACCTCGTCCAGCCCCTGCCGGAGCTGCTGGGTCACCCGGTCCTTGCTTTGCCGGGAGTCATCGATCTGCGTGCGTCGCTGTGGACCGCGCAGACCGCGGTAGATGCACTCGCCTTGCCCCGGCGAGGAACAGTTTCGCTGTTTTTGACTTTGAAAACACCTCCCACTTCGCGTGCTCGCAGGAACTGCACTTAACTTTCGATTGCAGCTGCCCAGTTGCTTCAGCACGCCGGTGTGGGCTGCTGATCTTGCTTTGCCATAGGCACAAACCAGTACGCTGTTGTGAGCTGCTGATCCTGCAGGAAGCACAGACCTTGCACAGGTGGCGCTGTGTTGATCAAAAGTCCGGAGCGCGTGCGTTTGACTGGGGACCCGCGTGTTTGAGAGAACCGGAACACTCCTATAGGTCAATTTGTTCTTATAGGAAACTTCCGCCGCCGGCTTGCCCGGGAACTGCTTGAAAATGATTGGAACAACGGCTATCTGCCCGTGTCTTACCGCTTTTCGGCTACATCATCGAACGCGGAGTCAGTCTTTTCCTGACTCTCTCCCATCTGGATGCAAATCACTTTTCCGGAAGGCAAACAATTACTACAGAATGCATGGGCCAACGGCCATATCATCAATCACAAAATTTTATCATCGTGACTACAAAATGGCTTGGCTGGCCAAACCCCTCAAATGCCCAAAAGGTCATGCTAATTACTACAAAATGGCACACCAAACAAAGAATTTCACTAGAGAATGCTCTTTTCTACGGACCTTGGGGCCCATCGTTCTGTAGAGGAAATTCCATCGGGTATTATTTACCCTATCAATATTGCTACCCTCCGAGTCCCTTAGATACCGAGGTCACCATTGATCACGGAAATCCTAGGAATCTATCCACCTTTGCGTCAGGCTGGTCTGATGTGGTCCTCCCAATGATCCGCCTCCGAAAACCTTACACGGCGACGATCAAATCTGTTTAACTAACAACATCTCTGTCTCTATCCCAATGGCTGATAGAGCTCTCTTTCATGCTCTTTCGCATTCTCCCCAGGCACAGGGCACGAAAGATCTCTCTCCGTCTGCCATGGACACCGCCACGGACCTTGCTCGTACCGTGCCTTCATGTACTCGCAAATGGGCCCCTCTACGGCCTCTCCGACGGCGCGATGATGCAGGGAACCCCCGCTGCCACACCCATCAGTCGGCGAGCATTGACCGATGTTCATCGATTTGGTTCCGATGGTTCCCCTCAGCGGCCTGATTGAACTCTTCATGGCCCATTCTCCACAACTCGCATTCCTGGTCAGCCGATGGCTGAAAAGTCGCCACAAATGAAAAACGCCACTCATGCAAGGAGAGCTGGTCATAGATTCCCTTTCTCATGTGCAAAGCCGTCACATTTTGGGGCTTTCAACCCCTTCGACTTCCAATGGATCAACCTCAGGCTCAAAGCTTTCTGTAGCTCTTTTTTCCCTACATTCCCTTTAATGAGCCTATAGAGCCCCAAGGCACGAGGATTCGCATCGATCGAACTCCCACCTCCACCACCTTCACCGTGGCACTTCTGGGCTCCGAGTAGAGGAGGGCTCGTTCACCTGAGAAGCAACACTTGGGCTGCTTGGGGGTGGGGAGAGTCACAAGAATGGTCAAAGACCAGCAGGGGCTTCTCCTCATTGCTCGATGGTTGAGTGTCTCTGCAATCGGCTGAGGCCAAAGCCGACATAGTCACCCATACCCAGCGAGCGCACCTTCTTTCCGCCAATGCTGACCTGCCACAAGCAACCCAAACACCTCACAAAAAGGTTGTAAGCGGTCTGTCAGAGTTTTGCGGTCCATGTAATGACATGTTCGATTCATACTTGAACTATGTAGTGGTCCCAGGGATGGTCCCAGATGCCTGGGAAATGAAGCTTAACCTTCTGGCTTAGTGGAGAAACCCATCCCCCAAAAAAGTTTTGGAGGTGCCAGGTGTACAGTCCGGCACCGCACCTCCAGGAGTCCCGTATGGATGATGTAGAACTCCTTTCCTGAGTCACCTGACCACCAGTCACACGTCTCAAGCTGCCAAGCACATGTCTGGCATGCAGAACTCCCTGGCCTTGGTTAAATATGATCTCTCCCGGCTTCTTGTTCACCACCTGGCCAGATCAACTTCCATCCCAGGAGATAGGAACAAGAAGCTAGTGGGAACAAAGGGCATCGCTACCAGGAACAAGGACGCTACTAGTTACTTAGTAGCTCCTGGCATTACTACTAGTAGCAAGAAGCTACTAGGAACAAGGAGCTGGTAGGTTGGAGGCCATCATCGCTACTAGTAACAAGAAGCTAGTAGGGTGGAGGCCATTGCTCCTAGTAGCAAGAATGCTACTAGTAACAAGTGCATCGCTTCTAGTAACAAGTGCCTTACTAGTAGTAACAAGAAGCTACTAGGGGCTCCTGGCCATACTACTAGTAGCAAGAATGCTACTAAGAACAAAGGAATGTTTGGCTTCTCGTTACTACTAGTAAGGCACCTGTTACTACTAGCTTCTTGTTACTACTAGTAAGGCACCTGTTACTACTAGCTTCTTGTTACTAGTCGTAAGGCACCTGTTACTACTAGCGTGGCACCTGTTACTAAGAACAAAGGGTTAATTTTTGCGTCTTTCGGCGCCACCGGTGAAGATGCTCGAGGGAAGCTGGCTTCCCCGCGTGCCGCCACCTCGAGGGCTTCCGCCAGGCGGTGCAACTGCTCCGGCGCCAAGGTCCGGAAGACCACGATCTTCCTCAAGGCACCCACCTGGTAGGGTGCGGTGAGCAGGCTGGGTGACCTCAAGGGGCCTTTAAAAAACAACTAATAATAAACAAATAAGTTTAAAAAAAAAAATATATATATATATACAAATATATATATATATATGCATGCCCTTACGTTAATTATGTAAAATAGCATTATGTTTGAATATGGTCTAGTTAGTTCATTGACCAAAGTTTAGGGTGGCTTGCTGATTGGTCGATGGAGGCTTTGTAGAGCATGTTGTGGTCACCGAAATGTGGACAGGTCTCCATTCTCATGTTTTTCCCATCAGCATCGTTTTAGCACCCCCCAAAAAATATTATATATGTTTTGTTTCATCTTCCCTCGCTTTCCCTGGATTTATGGTCCACCAGGCTGCGCCTTATCATCCGACAGCACCGCCAGTCTCATGGAGGGCGAGCGTTGCCGAGCCTGTGGGCAGGCAGGGGGGCCCTTCATGTGGTTCAGAGCCACAAGCCCAACGGGTGGCGACCGATCGTGAGGCTTTTGTGATCATGCAACGCTGCCAATATGAACACGAACCTGCATGTAGCCTAGGCCAAAGGCGGCCAAAGCATCATCAAGCGAACGATCTACCCTTAGGATCTGTAACCTGCACCACCCCCGCCCAGACTGTGCCTCACTGCTCTGGCTCATTGGGGAGATGTCCGGACCTCGGCAGCCAGTCACCGGTCGAGTGCAGTTGGCGTGCGGTTGCCATGGGAGTCCTGCTGGCACTCAGCCGCTTCTTCCGCCGGACCACCTCCAAGAAAACAGCCACGGTGCGGCCTGCACGTGGGGCCGTGGCGACAGCTACGACACTACGAAGTCACCTAAGCCTAAGCGTCCCAAATCCCGTTAGGAACACCAGTGAACACCCTGGTCAGGCAACCAGCCACAAACACCACTCCCCCCATCCGCGGTATCCAAAAGTCCGAAACGGTGCTCGGCCGCGAGATGCCTGACCACACGGCCACCTTTGCATTCTTCGCCCTCGGCTAATGGACAAAAGGCCAGGACAGAATCGTCACCACGAAGCAGCTCTTAAGAAAGCAAGCAAATGTTAGCAAAAGACCAAATGATTCAAAAAACAGGCAAGCAAACAAAGAAAAAAGGCACACCAATTGAGCTTTCAGCTCGCCGGCGGCCAAACTGAGCCGGAGCAAAGGAGACCTGGGTCGCCCCAAAAGCCATGGATTCACTAGGAATGATGGGAGGGTAGGTTTTTTGGTGAGCAGTTCTGACTCATCCCGTGGTTTTGCGTGTGGGTCTGTCTCATGATCCACACTAGTCACTAGCATCAAAACACGCATCCCGAGAACCATGCCAGGTCTTCCTTGGTTGATACGGGGGCTTGATGTGGGGGGGGAGCGTCCGCTCAAGCTATGCCTCGAGCTTATCCGCTTCAATGTCTGCATCTTCTGGTATGAGAACTTTGCCTGGTGCACAATGGCTATGGCTAGTCTAGCAGCAGCTGTGCAACGGCACAAACATTCACAAGGCCAACAGCAAATCATATCGCATTGCTCGATTGCCAGCCTTCCGTCACAGCGACTGTTCTACAAATCCGCCAATGGCGACACAATGTTGCTGTAAGTGCTATCCTTTTGTCGGATGGAAAGCCTGTTTAACGACCCTCGTCTATGACCAGGTAAGCATGCCACGCTTAAGTGTGGATGTACATATATATATATATATACGATATATAACGTTTACAAGTACACCAGATTGTGGAAAAGGTCCCACACTTTCCCTCAAAATGGAAAGAAAGCGCTTCCCACCCAACCGCTTGATCCACATGACGACATGCCGATTTGCCCATTGCCTGCCTCGGTCTTTGAGAATCACAGGCTCACGGATCTCCTCAACTCAGAGAGTCCACTGAGCGGCACCCAACTCGGAACCAGTGGGTGCCTCAAAGACCCCGGCCTTCCCTTCCTTGATCAGGCTGGCCTGCAAAAGTCTCCAAGTGGAAAGTCTATCACTCTTCTTTGTGTTGTTCACGTCTCCCACTCCTCTTAGAGACACATATTTATCATAGCAACGGTGAGTTCCATACCCTCGTGCCTTCACCTGGCCTCTCAAGCTGAAGCCAAGCCGAAAGCACGGCCTCAAATGGCAGAGAGAGCGAGAGAGCGAGAGCAATTGTCCCCAATCACCAGAAACGATCAAAGATATTCAGGCCACTCGTGCAAGTCACGCATCAGAAATACGGGGAATGTTCTTGTGCTCCACTTGACTCACTCAAGTCAGCGCCTCTCAATGGTTTCGCCAGGCTTCACATTGACCAACTGTAGCGAATGGTCGACATCGGGATCAGGCAAGCAATGCAAAGCAGTGGTAATGACACTCCTTGCTTGTGACATATAGTTGGACATACTTCCACCATAGATACAAGCATTGCTCAAACACGCATCCTTCCCTAGACAGCTCTCCAAAGCACTCCAAAGCCCAACTCCCAGCAAGCTTCAATGCGTTCTTCGGTGCTCGTGACCTCTTCGGTTGTGACATCTTCGCGTCCGCACCTCATAGAGACTGGCCAGGCCATCCAGCTGGTCCATTCGGAGGTGCTGCAAGTCCTGCCGAACGAAGGGTTCCCAACGTTCGAACAACAAGCCGTTTGGAATTGCCAACAGCTGTGTTTGGATGCCGCCGGATTATTTAGATTGTTTGAAACATACCATACATTGCATTATATATAGACATGGTTATATATATATATATCAAATAGATTCAAGTAAACACACACACACTCACACTTGGACTCACTGAATTGTTCACAAAGGAAAGTCATTATAAAAAAAGTCATCAACGGTCCAGGTTCCACTTCCACGTTTATTTAATGAGTCAGGGTATATTCAGTACAATGCGTTGAATCATGTTGACTCTTTTTGGGGTGGCTTTGGGCATTCGGTATCCGAGATCATTCTGTACCTCCACACTGGACTACCCTACAGCTCAAGTGCTCCTCCTGCTGCCTGATGCTCATCAAGATTCGTGATCTGATGATCGTTTCTTCCAATGAAGTGCCAAACCTACAGCCACACTCACGGCAAAGATGCACGGATACATATTCGGATGCCTGTGTTCCTGCAAGGCTGTAGGCCATCATTCGTCAGCAGCATGATAAAATGCATGCTGCATTTCCCAGTGAATCCTTCCCTGCCCCTTGAGGCGCTTACATCTGCTGAAGCAACGTGCTGCTCAGAATGAGAGTTTGAACCTCATCCAGACCCAAAGCTGCTCAGAATCTGCTCAAGAGGGTGCTTGACAAAGGGCAGCTCTACCGAACATCTCTGAGTCTCTGAGATTATCAATGCTTCCCCCCTGCTCGAAGCAAGTGGCGAGTATCTGTGAATCTTCATGACTACTTCGGCAATTGGAGCCGCAATCATATCACACATCGAATGAAGGTGTCTCATGACGGATGCCGGCAAATTACAGTATCCGGTTCCCGCTTCCTCTAGACTCTATCCCTTTAGCTCCCAGCAGGTCCCTTTGCGATGGCCGTGAAGGTTTCCTCCTGAAAACTCCCGACCAACAACCGGCCAGGCGAGATGCACCCAAATGCCCGACGGGGCCCTCAAAAGACCATCAAAACAGGTACAGCGTGAATCCCTTTCGGGCAAGATGTGTGTGTGTGTGTGATTGTGTGTGCTCTTCTTTTCGGGGAGAAATTGGGGCGCCAAATATGAATAGCAAAAAAAGCTCCGCTCGATGGCAGATCTCTCACACCTCGGCGTTGAGGTTGGCCCCTTTGCCCTGATTTCACCCGTCGTCCTTGTAAAGGATGCCGGTGTAACCGATCACACCCATACCTTAGCTGGCTGGCTCTTGGGCAAGCAATTGACCAAATGTCGTGAAGATAGCAGAATCAATGTGACTAATCAGTTATGTTCAAACCTTGGACACCACACGCTCAACCATTGCAACCTCGTCGCCTCGAAGCTGGGAGAACGGATGAGATTGGCCATGCAACAGGCATCACAATCAGCGGAAGACAGGTGGGGCATAAATGGGAATGATAGATCTCCACCGCTTCGACCCTCCGCGGAGGGGTCCGCGGACGGTCGAAAAACGGATGACAAGCCTCGCCTCGAACAGCCTCGCTGAGTGCCACCTGACATCCGCCAGCGCTGTCAGGTGAGAAACTTGATCCAAGGTTATTCAACCGAGATCAACCAAAAGGGAGATGAAGACTGTGGTCTTCTCTTTTTCAGACTTCATTCAACCAGCTCTGTGGCTCTCCGGCTGCGGAACGGAAACACTGAAAGGACACCAAAAGCTTTATGAACGGCCCACTACTACGGACGGCCGCTGCAAGCCACAGGGGGGAAAGCCCACTACTACGGCGGGGCAAGTCCTCCGAACTTCGTCGCCTGGCCCTGCAATATGATGTGCAAATCCTGGTGCTCCTGCAATTTTCTCGACCGGCTTCGTTCTCAAACACACCCGCAAACCGGATGAGGACATTCTCAGGGTCCATGTCATTTTTTGGTTCTTGAGAGGGGAATTCCCAGGTGCCCTCTGCATACTTGCCTTACTTCTTCTACCAGCTCCTTGTGACCAGGGGTAAGGAGCACGGCACCATCCTCGTAGCTTTGCACATTCACCTGGGTGCCACAGCACGGCCGGAGGGGGTTCTCTGCAGAAAACCGCCTGCTTCGGATCTGAGTGCCCCACCTTGTCGAACAAGCATTGCATCTGCACAGGGGCGATGAGGATCTCCACTACATAAAGCGCTCAACCCAGCCTAAATCCCTTCAGAACCAAGCAAGAACTCGTCCCTTAGGAGAACGATTCTGATTGTGCAACGCCGTCCACGCCTGGTAGGGCGTCAGCTTCCGCAGCAGCCAACAGGACTCGCAGCCTCAAATGAGTAATTCAGGCCTTTCAAAGGAGAAGATGCTGGTTCCCCTATAGTGGCCATCAAATGGACAGTTGATGACAGTTGCATGATGTCCAACGGGCAGCCTAACTCAAAATGTACCAAAGAAGACTCCATTCCACAACCTGAAATAAGCTGAAGTTGCCAAAACATCGCGGACAAGGAGCACATCAAAACAGTGGCTGAGGTTCTGACTCAAAGCTTCATTGACCGCACTGCTGGCTTGGCCGCGTTCACGCCTGAGATGCTTGGATGCAATAGGAAGACTCCCTGCTTCATGTGGAAGTGATTGGACAGAGGTTCTCAACTTGGGCAACCACCATGAACCACCCAGCATCTTTGACCGGCTCGTATGGCGTCAGCAACCCCAACAGCAGGAAAACAAAAGCTAGGTCCTACTATGTAGGTTGATCCAGTCGAAAAGAAATCTCATTTTGTTGGTTTTCGAGTTGGTCTCCAAAGCCTGCAGCTTTAGCTTTTGAGTCCTTCCCACCGGTGCTCTGCGGCTTGGGTGGGAGCCCCGTGCCACTGGTGCGGGTTTTGACGATCGTTCGCCAGGTGGCTGGTATTGCTCTGCCAGCAGCGACCGCGTTCGCAGGCCACTGAGGCCATAGACCTCCACCTCTCCTCGTGGACCATCAAAAGCACTAGGAGAGGCGGAGCACCATGACATTGATCTGAAAGTAGACACAGGACACCAAGTTCATGTTGTTCACAGGATTTCACATGACTTCACTGAAGGTTCTTCCAGCACAAAGAAATTCACAAAATGTCTTACAAACATCATGAACTCCACTGGCGAGTTTTCAGGACTGGGAATCCGATCTACTGCTTGCCGGGTTTCCTGCATCAGGACTTCGGGGCCACATTGGGCCACTCTACATATATATATATATATTTTTATATATACTTACATACATACAGGCAGACAAACAGACAGACAGGCAGACAGACAGACAAACAAACAAACAAACGCGGACAGGAGAGGACAGGACAAACAAACAGAGTCACTCGAAGGCTGTGGCTCACACGAGGAGTCTTGTTGGTGAGAAACTTGAGTCACAATAGTCACAGCAACTGATCACACTAGAAACTTAGGAACACAAATATCTCGTGCTTGTCGTCGAAGGCAGCAGTGTTTCCGTTGTATGTGTTAAGTTTCAACCCCGCTGAGCCGTAACCCCGCAAAGCGGGTGGAAGGGAACGAATCTAGACTATTTGATCTTCAAACATGGACGAAGTACTCGACATAGGTACAGTATGTAAGTGTGTGTGTGTATATTATATATATATATATAGTGACCCTGTGATCCTCAATGGATAGAAACGGTTTCCAATACGTTTTAGTCATTTTTAGTTGGAATCTACTTTTCTATCTGTTTGGGTTAAAATATGGTAAGGCCAGAATCCTTGATTTAAAAATCGAAAAAAGTCAAAGGGAAAAGTCAAAGAAAAGTCGGAAAACAGTCAAAAAAACGGTTTTACAAAGTCAAACATAGATCACAACTCAAAAAGGAAAAAAAAACATGTCAAATAAAAATGAATCACAACTCGAAAAAGTCAAAAGAAAACCGTCAAAAAAAATCAAATAACAGTCAAAAAACACATCAAAAAAAGGCAACATTAGAAAACAACTCGAAACAAGTCAAAAAACATGTCAAAATAAATCAAATAAACGGCATAAAACGTCAATAAAAAGTCGGATCTGGGCCAGTTGACTCCTTGCATCTCCTTTTTTTAACTTTCGAACTGAAACTTTCTGATTTGACTTGTTTTTGACTTTGACTTTTGGAACTGACTACAAAGTTGACCCTTTTGACTTTTTTGATTTTGAAAAAGGCTCTCTCCAATGAAAGATCTTATTAATATTGGGGGTCTATGGGAAAGCAGCTGACCGTTGAAAAGACCAGATGGCACAGCCCGTCCTTTGGCTTGGACCGTGGTGTCCTGTCCACCGGACATGAGGATCACATTCTCCCCAAAAGCGGCGCCTCGGTCGCCCGGTCGGGCATGACCAAGGAGTCGGCCCATGGATGCCCATGACTCATGTCGGGCCTTGTGAAATCTCAGACTTGACTTCGCCATTCCTGAAAGCCAAAGAGTTAGTCATCATCTGGAAACACCCTATGAGATGCATGATGCAATGCTTGATGCAATGCTTGATGCAATGCATGATGCATGTATGTTCTGATTTCCAGGAGGGAGTTTTACAGGACGCATCCAGAACTTCTTGCACAACGTGGAGGCAGCTGGGGTGGCAGCGCTTACATAGCTTATAATAGCTTATATTAATATACGTCCTATCATCTTGGAGAGTCCCATCTGCGAGGTCCTGAGCACCACAAGAGATCCTTTGGAGACGATGAAGAAGTGTGTACCTGTGCGGCCAACTCCCAGTTGAGCGACTTCAGTTCCAAAACTTCAACGACTTGTTCTGCTCACAATCATCTCGGACTGGCATGTAGGTTCTTCAAGATGTTCAAGCGACTGGCATGAGGAATTTCCTAGTTTCGCAGGTCGCGAGCCTCGAATGCTGCCCTGTCGTGTGACCTGGGTCTTGTCGGGGAACCTGAAGACCTGGCGAGACAAACGGCGAGCCACGGGCCCAGTTCGTCCCGCCAAGCTGGCCCGAATCGGCCAGCGTTACTGGTTCCAAGTCTGGCTGTTCTTCCTCAGGTTTCGAGAATTCACAAACCCAATCTGGTTTCTCCCTTCGAACAGGGCCCACAACTCCACGCACTCACAATAAGTGACAACGGCAGTCTCTATCCCAGGACATATCCCAGCATTACAACTTGTCACCATGAACTTGTGCTTCTGAGACCTTCGCGGATTGGATGTTTGGTCTTTGCACGGCTTGAGCTCTTGACCCGCACCCAGGTCGTGGAGAGGGATTCCCCTTGCATCGCGTGCACCACGTGGGGCGGATCTTGTGAACCTCCATTGCTTGAATGAGCTTCTGGATGGTGAGGTCATCGACATCTTTGAAGTACAAGAGCTTCCTGCGGTCTCGCTTGCAGAACGCACGTTTGGGTCCCAGGAGCCACGTTGAATCCCTAGAGACCGGTCAAGACTTCAGACTCTGAACGACGCCGTCAGCTCCGACAAAACCGTCGGATGACGTATCAAGTCGGATGCCAAGCTGGGAAAATCCAGAACAAACTCTCTGTTCAACATGCCCTGCTATTCACTACCACATGGAATGGGACAATGACGGCAAACTGTTTAAGGGATGCTGGCCGCAGCTACGAGAAAGAAGAAAGACATGTGCACCACAAAAAGAGCCTCCAAAACAGATCCAAAGTGGGCTGTTCTCCGCCACAGACGATGTCCAAAACTTGAGGCCATCTTCCCATTTCATGAGTCACTAACGGGCTAGTGACTATAGTAAGTCATTCAGCACGATGTGCCAAACATCTGGCTGGACCGCGCGCGCGACAAGGCTCGTCCTGAGGATACCTTCCGCAAAGGCCACGTCCTGCCGTCGTCTTTCCGAAGCCAGGCACCTACTTCTCCATAGTTCCGGAGCCTAATGCATGATTTGGGAACTAACTCAGGAAGAGTCTTTCGCAGCAAGAGTCTCAATCGAGGTTTTAGCCAGCTCAGCCTTGCCGGAGTCACCTCTGATCTCGCGTTCAGCGACAACACTAAGTAAGTGTGCATGAAGTAAAATCTAGTCAGACTAGTCAAGCCCGTATTGGATGCGTTCAATCTCCACTAAATCCTCAAAAACAATTCATCTGTCAAGATCTTTCAAGTACCTTGCAGCGCGTCTCTGACATTGACATAACCCAAGTTCGACCAAAGTCCCCAACAAGAAAACCCCAAACTATCAGGACCCGACGTCTATCCAGCAGTTTTTCGCGGAAACACCTGTTGATGCACTAGTATAATTACAGAAAAGAAAAACAAAAGAAACCTGGTAGTTGGTGCAGTTAAACGCGGCGATCACCCGAATGCCTTCCAAAGACCCCATCAAGTTTATCAAAAAAGACTGGAGTCCGAGCGTGTGACCGCCTCACATGACTCATGCTCATGTATGTTTGACTGTCCTTAGTAGCTCCTTGCAACTGGTGTTTCTGTAGGTCAACGCCCTCGCCAGCATCCACAATCTCCTTGGTTTGTCAGGCAGTCATGAAACATGAGCAACATATAAAGAAAGACACGCATGACTGGTCAGAGGGGAAAAGACACGGTACGGAAGGGGTTGGTGTGTATCACTCACCAGTTCATCTGGTGCAGTAGCATATGCCAAAAGCCTGTCACAATGTGACCCTTTCCCTCATCCCTCCTTCATGTGCTCTGGCATGCTCTTCACCATGTCCTGGACAGTGGCTTTGATGATGAGCACAGCCAGGACCCAGCAGAAACCCGAGCTGTTGCTGGGTCGAGAAAAATCAAACAGCATGTCCTTACAGAAGCTAGTGGGTGGACAGATTTGCCACAGAATGAGTAGTTGATGGAGCCTGCAGTCTGCCACTGTCCCTGCCTCCATCCGCGGGCTCAGGCACTGGACAGCCTCCACTGAAAATTGTGAAGGTCTTGCCAAATGAGACGAGACGCGTGGTCTATCAAACAACAGGAATGCAAAACATGAGAGGAATGCAATCACCCCCAAGCTCAACACAACTCCCCTCCCCCCACCCCGGTCTTGCCAAAAAAGAACGCCTCTGCCACACCGGTCTGGGTGAAGGCCGTGGGCAGCCGAGGTCGAGCCTTGGGACCGGACGGCGTGTGTGACCCGTAACGGGTACCGTCCTGTGTGGACCGGACAGCGTGTTCCCCTCACCGTGGTTGAACCCTCTGCGCGCTTCTTTTTGGGACAACGCCTGTTGGGCGAAACATCTCAATCTCCAAGCTGCTGACTTGGGGTGCCAGGAAGAGCCTTGCGCTTTTTCGAGGGATCTTGGAGCAAGAAGACTTTGGTCACCAAACTTTGAGGTGATCTTTCGGCTGCGAGGCGAAGACTGACACGAAGCCCTGGAGCTCCATGGCGGCTTTTTGTCCATGGCTGGATGTCACTGTCACGAAATAATGCTCGTTTTTGGGGGACGCCCCGCTAAGACGGTACCAGTTGCACCACACACTTCAGAAACACGCTCGTGTTCCAATGCGACTCGTTTCGTTTCGTCCAATGCGGGGCAGAACCCGTGTTCCGGGTGCCGTCGCCGGCCGCTGGTCTGCTCGCTTGTTCAGCTCCTGAAGCTCTTCATGCGTGAGAGACCTCAGGAACTTCTCAGGAAAACAACAATGTTTGGATTTTGTAGCTTCTTGTTACTAGCAGCGATGGCCTCCAACCTAATAGCGATGGCCACCACCTAGTAGCTTCTAGCTACTAGTAGCATCCTCCAACTGATCGCTTTAGGGTTGGGTTCCTGTTGGGGGTTGGGAACAGGTCGGCCCATCTCAAGTGTCAAGGATGGTGTTTCCAAGTTCTAGTCTGCTTCATTCCTCATGGTGGACAGATGTGGTTTTTGGGACAGGGCCTACATCCTTTACCTGTAGCAAACACATCTGGGCAGTTGGGTCTTCTCCAGCCAAAGGTTTTGATTTAAGCTGCGATCCACAATTCAAGAGTCTAAGAGGAAGCGATGCCAACCACCTTGATCACTTTGAAAGTAGGTAGTGCTTTCCCTTGGTTGTGTCATTGTCACACACACGACAGCCACATGCCCCCTTGCCTCTTGCAAAAACAACATGAAGCATCACCAGATTGGTTGGGTCACGGGAGTCATCTCTAGGACTTCTTCTTTGGTCGCGTCCTTTGCAATCTCTTTGCTTGGAAGCTCTTTCCTCAAGAGCTTGGAAAGATGCTGAACACCCTGAAGTCTCTCTGTACCCCACTCGGCTTCAAACCCGTCATCCTCCACAGGCACCTGGCACGTTCGTGACATCCGGCTCACTAGAGAATCCACGAGATCTATATAAGCTGAGTTTGTCCTGTCTGTTTTGCATGTTTGACCCCTCGAGGCATCTTCGTCCACTTGCTGGCAATACTGCAGCTTCAACAATTGATTTCAATTTGGGAGACATCAGCACAAGGATGCGCAATGAATCCCTGAACCTTTTCGGCCAAGAGTCCATTCACACACAAAAGCGCGCCCGCCATGGCTCATTAAAAGACCTTCTTGGCCGCCTGAAGGGAACGATCAGGATTTGAAGACACTTGGAGCTCTAAGACTCTAAGAAATCCAAGCGCAAACCGTTTGGTCCTGAACAACTCTTCACGACTCGGACCCAGTTGGATGACAACTACCGCTCATGGGTCCTTGGAGCTGCCTTTGCGCTTCTCCTTGACCTACGCAGATTCGACCAGCTGCCACAGCGAAGCAGCAAATACACCCGAGCACATCGGGGTGGTGTCGTCTGTGTGCCTCCTCTGCTTTCCGCTTTTGGTCTTTGGAGGTGCCGTCCATGTCCACCTAGCACCCCCGTCACCCGCCCGGACATGGCAGGGACAGGCCGTGGCTGAGTCCGAACGGGCCCCCCTGCACCCATGTCTCTGGCATAGGCACCTCAGTGACCAACAGTGAAAAAACACAAAGAGTCTCAAACGGTCGGCCTTCACATAGCCTGGCCCAAAAAATGGCGGCCATTCCTTCCGGGCGAAGCATGGAGAAGCCAAGAGTCTGGCCGAAAATGTCGTCCAACAGCGCCATCTCCATGGGATCCGCTCCATCCTGGGTGCCAGTTGCAGCAACTCAGAGCAGAATAAACAGGTGTCGATTCGATCAGTTCTACCGTTCGACTGGTGCATTGATCCACCACAAGATGTTCCAAACATCGAGATGCTCTTTGTTAACATGACCGTCTACCGGGCTCAAACTCCAAGAGCATCCCGAGTCTGACCCTTTAAGCGCGAACGAAGGACAAGAAAATCTGCACATCATACTGACTCATACCCCATCATGAATCGTGCCATTTGGGCTCCCACATGTAAGTCCTGGCAAGTGCATCTTCCGGCCAAGACTCTGCAAACATGTCATCTTCTTGCACCGCAGCCACTGGAGCCTGGTCAGGAGTCTGCCACACAAAATGACCTTCCTTTTCAACTTTCTGATTTTTCTCTTTCTTTTTATGTTTTCGTTTTTGGCTTTGTAACCCCCCAGCCTCCACCTCGACGGTTTCTCGCCCAGCAGCCTCGCCCGCCACGAAGAGGTCTTCCTCCTCCGGAGCATTCAGGGCGGTGCTAGTGGGGTTGTCCTCAGTGTCGCCAACAGAAAATGCTGGCTACTCGGATCTGCTGGGCTCTCTCCAAGTGGGCAAAGGGAAACATCGACAAAGCTTGCTGTCAGCATGCAATTAGCGATGAGTGGTCGCCATGTGCAGTTGAGGCCACGACGGGCTTCTCACCAAACCAAATCACCAACGCTGTCTTGTCCTCAGCATGGCCGGTGGTAAAGCCCTGCCCCTTGAACATCTCCACAAAGAGCCAAGAATCTACTGTTTCAGGTAGGTGGTCCACACTTGTCGAAGTATCCGCCTTCAGCAGGCATGCCCACTCTGTCCATCTTCAGTCCAAGGCACGTCCATCGGATCCCGTGTGTGCGCCGCCTCCACTAGCAGGCGTGCCGCCTGGGTGCGACGGAGGGATTTCTGGTTCTCCCGTGTTGGACGATAGCTTTGCACGGATGACCCGTTGGCTGCCGTTGCTCTATGGGAACATCAAGGTAAAGCTTTGTGGAGGCACCGGCGGCATGTTGGAGTGATTTTAAGATCAGCATCAGCAGCTTTGCCCAATAAGATTGCCGGTGAGGTAGCAAAACAAGGGCTTCCACCATGGCATTGAAGTTGTTGCAGTCAGTAGCTACTCAGGAGCTTATAACTTGGCTTTACCTTGGCTACTTGGCCAAAAACCACTGGTTGTTTTTTCGTATCATTCTCATAGCACCCTTACCTACATGTGAAGGAGATATGTGATACCTGCGGAATCTTCCACCAAAAAGTGCCGCAACCGCCGCTCCTCGTGCCCACCCTACCACACCCGCCGCTTCCGGCACCGCGGACCGCGGCCTTCTCCGGCGCCTCGCGACCTCCCTCCCGTAAAGGTCCACTGGCCAAACGGACCGCCTGAGGCGGTCAGCATCCAGCGAGGCACGAAGTTGGACCAGTACGACATGCGCCGAATTTGTTGCCATTTGGGCATTAGTTTAGGGTGTTTAGGGCTCATTTTCGCAGATGGAACCACAGGCCACCAGTTCCCCCATCAGTTCGGTCTGCCTCCAGGTCTGACACACTGCCATGGATGCCATCAGACATAAGAATCAGCATCACCTGAGCGGTTTCAACACATGTTTAAGATCGTCGTTATACAGTATTACAGTATGCACAAACTTCTGCTTGCCTGGCGTTCCTTGGTGGTGCTTGGCACGTGTGGAGGTAGGGAAGGGTTGTTTGTCGCAAGAAGGTATCCAAAAATGACTGTTCATAGCCCCGCCTGGTCAACAGCCCAATATATATTCCTTGTCCTGTCCAAGTGTCGGAGAATGCACCACCTGGAGCCTACGGTTAGATTATCCGCCGACCCCGGCCTATAGCCAAAGCCTAGGCGGGGAGGCGCCTGGGACACCGCAGGGTGAAGCAGTTGGCCAAGCCTAGCAGAACCCTTCCAAGCACTTCCAAAGGCCTGTCCGAGGCCTCGCCAGCTGGCAGGCCTGCTGCGGCCTCTCTGTGGCCTGTCCAAGGCCTGCCTCCTCTCTCGGCAGCTGGCAGGCCTGTTGCGGCCTCTCTGTGGCCTGTCCGAAGCCTGCCTCCTCTCTTCTTATGGGCTTCCGAAGGCGACGTTAGGCATTTTGGACCGCCTTCAAACGCTCCTCGGCAGCTGGCAGGCCTGTTGCGGCCTCTCTGTGGCCTGTCCGAAGCCTGCCTCCTCTCTTGTTATGGGCTTCCGAAGGCGACGTGAGGCATTTTGGACCGCCGCAGCACAAGCCTTGCTGGCTCAGCACCTGGGCTGTCCAACAAGGCCCCCGCAAACAGCCGCCAGTCTATTAGCGCAGCCAGAACAGAGGCATTGCTACTATGCTTCTTGCTGCCTGTTGCTAGTGGTTTTTCTGATCTTGTGATGCTTCTGGGTCTTCTTCTTAGTGCTGCTGCTGTGATTGCTGTTGTTGGTGTATATCCTGGGGTCGCAGGGCACAACCTTGGCATTGGCATCTCCACCTTTGTGGGCTTTAGCGCAGGCC